CCCTCTCCAATCGTCGCACGGGCAGCTATGGGCCGAGCCAATCAAAACGCGACATTTAATTACCTCGTTATCCCATCCTCACGTCACCGACCAATCAGAGCGCACCATTTTCCCTGACAGTCCCGTCTAGGCCACCCCCACCTGGCGCCGGAGGTCGAGTGGAGGGGGTTTGTTTTGACGGCCCATAGCTGCCCACTTACTACTTACGTGAACAAAACGAAAAAAATAGGCTTTTCTTCCCGAAATATAATTCGTACCGGGTTAAAACTTGGTACAGTTTACGCGAACTTACTTCAAAATGAAGAGATCAAGTTACTTCTGCCTTAATCAGTGGGATTTTTAAGTAATCAATAAATTAAATTTAGGGCCTCTCTCCGAGGTCCGCATAGTTTCTCTCTCCGTGGACCACGCTAGTCTCTCTCCGTTGTCCGCGCTGCTACCTCCCGACTCCCGGTCGGCACTCGCTAAGGCGATTAATCGACATTATTTATTCGTTTTTGAATTGATTCAAACGGTCGTGGCGACCCAAAGGCGACAATTTAACTAAAGAAACATATTAATGCAATGAGAGACCTCAAAATTAAACATATTCTTTGTCAGAGTAACTGAAGTCCCATCGCGAGGCCGGAACAACGAGCGACACGCGCACCGCGGGCCGTGATTGGCGCGCAATAACTTATTCCTATTTCATAGGATTATCGTCGCTAAAGCGTTTAGAGCAGGCTAATTCTTTCTAATTACGCGTAGGATGGCAATGACATAATAAATGTCATAGCGTACGAAAATGAATTCTTTACTCCACGCGAAGTTAATTGACTTAGTATTTCGTCGCAACGGAATAGCACAATGCACGCGCCCTACGCGTGCTCTGATTGGCTCTTGTGACACGCGCGCCACGCGTCATCGGTATGACTGAATAGCGCGTCGCCGGGTAAGATTTCCGCTACAAATTTTGCGATTTTAATAAAAGATTGTAGATGGACAATGTAAGAATGAAATTAATAAACCGCAAAAATAAATAGATTAAATAACAAAAATATTCGTGAAAATACTAGTAACACAGAATTATGTTTTAAAGAGGGTCCGGACGTAACAGTCACCAATAATTCTTAGGCAAACGAGAAGATGCTTCAATATAATCAGTCTAAAAGTATGATTCAAACTAATACAATTGCTATACCAAACTGGTCCAGCTTTCAAAATTACAGTTTTTAGTAGTTTAGTCAGTTGAAGTAAAGTCGACGAGTTGCACCCATTTTCAATAATACCTGAAAAATTAATTTCGTAAAGAAGGCCTCATACATAATAATAATTAGATAATAATATTACTTGTGTTTATTACAACATATAATACTTCAGAATGGATATGCAATAGCATCCTGACAGACTTGGGAAATTGTTTGTTGAAGTTAAACAGAGATGTAAACCATACGTGAATTTGACAAAGTCGCAAATTTTGTTCCAAACATTCTTACATAAATTCCATTTAAGAAAAACCTTTTTGACGTTTTCTGGATTCATTAGTAAGAGGCTTTACTTTACCACAACCTCGACAAGAAATTTTTTATATATGCATCATGAAACGTACTTTTAAACCAACATTTGACGCGATAATCATCCCGATCCAACGTATCAATGTATTCCACAACAATTACATAATTACAATATTTTTCAATAATGCAACTGTTTCGCTCAAAATTGTAATCTCTATGTAACTCTCAACTTTCTCATCTGGACGTACTTCAAGCCAAATATCAGACATTAGTGGCATTAATAAATTCTATAGATAAGGTTCCTTTCTCACAATTATCTATCGAGATCATATCTTCGTCGAGATTTACAAACGGAGACATAATCGATCGTGTACCTGTACAAAGTTTCCTGTAGTTAACAAATTAATTATACGTTATCTCACATATTCCTAAATGAGTGCTCTACAAAAATTAAATTATCCACCGGTTACAGTTTTTACTTTTTATTTAAAACGATTACCTGTGCAACTCATTTAAATTGCTGTTCAACATAACGTCACCAATAATTCTTAGGCAAACGAGAAGATGCTTCAATAATCAGTCTTAAAGTACGATTCAAATTAATACAGTTGCTATACCAAACTGCTCCAGCTTTCAAAAATAAAGTTTTTAGTAAATTAGTCAGTTGAGGTAAAGTCGGCGAGTCGCGCCAATTTTGA